CTATGTAAAATAGCTTCAAGAAGATTACACTACAATTCAATAAAAATGAAAATTAACTGTGTATAGAGAAGATGGCTTGTCACATGCCAGACGATGTAATTAAAGGCCGTAGAAACTGCCAAACCTCTCAGAATAGATCAGAAATTTTTCACATCTAGGAAACGCTGGTTTGAGCAATTCATATATCAAGGACTTTTGTCACTCTGGCCCCTAAAAGCTTCTGACTAATGTCCAAGATAAGGTGCTTAACTTCCAAAGATATTTGACTCAATTAAGGGAAAAAACAAAATTACAAGTTTAACAAATAGGATGCAGTCAAAATCAAGAAAGTCTTCTATAAACTTCATAAGCATTCTCAGTTCTAAAGGGGAAGAAGTAAAAATCATTAGCATCAACTATAAAAAAAATAGCATGTTATCATGATGCTTTGTTTAACTACCAATGGCAAAAAAGGATTCAGAAAAATCTTCACACTCAATGTGAAAAAAAGCCTAGACTTAAACTTTAACCCTATACTAAAAAAAAAAAAGGGGGGTATATAACTAAAGATATACTAATGATATAAGGTTTAAGTAATTTTTGTACACTTAATGTATCTTTTTCCCCACCCGAGAAGAGCTGTTATTAAATATACCATGTGTCAAAATCACTGGCATATTTGAACACAGTATATATGTGATATTATGGCTGTTACTGTATTTAACTTATATTTCAAGAGATATGTTTGGATCCAAATACAATATTCCTTAATATAATTGATGGCTTAGAAAAAGCAATTCAAACTCAACTAACATTTTTCCATAAAAGAAAAAGCTCTATCCTTGCTCCTACTCAATTTGACAATAATTTGTAAATACACATACATACACACACACCAAAAAAAAGTTTTTCAATTCAGAGATCACTGCAAACTGAAAGAGCTAATGAACAGTGAGCTAAATAGTGACCAAATTAGGATTCAATAAGCTTTCCAGGTAGGTAGAATAAAGGATCAAGATTAACAAGATAAAAACTAATAAATGTAAAGTCCTGTTTTGAGGTTAAAAAAAAAAAAAATAAGGACAAGAAAGGACAGAACAGAAAGACAGCCACTTACTTGAGAATAAACAGTATTAAAAAATCTACATACTCTTGTACTATATTATTTAATGTATGCTCTTTACTAATATACATTACTAAATGTGTATTCCTTAGAGCAATAAATATAGTCTCTGTCTTTGCTGATGAGGCTACTATAGCTTCAACACTAAGGCTAGTTCTGGGCACCATCCTCAAAGGAAAGAACTAACAAACCAGAGTTTCACTAAAAGAAGATGACTAAGATTTTCATTTACTTTTTTAATACACCTCTATAGCATTTACTGTGTTTCAGGGACCATTCTTAAAATTTTATAAACCATGTCATATGAAGAATGGATACGGAAGTTAGGAATGTTTAACCTGAAGATAAGGAGAACATGATAGCTCTTGCTTGTCAAATACCTAAAGGGCTATCATGTGGACAAAGTAGCCTATTTATCCGTGCCATTACATAAAAAGAAAAATAACAACAGTGAGAGATTTGGGCTCTACAGAAAATCTCTGTGAGCTGTTCAGTGGCATTCTCTCTCTACAAGTACTAAATGAGAAATATATATTAAAAAACTTTGCCATAAATTGCCACATACACATTATTAAAATTGACTTCTTTGCAAAATAGTGCATCCCGATCAACAGAAATATTTACAAACAGGCTGATCATGTGCTTTGGAGTTCCTACTGTCAGTTCAGTTCCCAGCTTTGGAGCTTATTTACTAAGTATGCAACTTTGGCAAAGTTTCCTTGCCTCTCCAGGCTTCACTTTCCTCACCTTTAAAACAAGGATAAAGCTACCCTTTATAGCAGGGTTATTGTGAGAATTAAATGTAATAATGTATGTAAACACTTAGCATAGCACTGATGTATTTAATAAACTATTATCTTTGACGATCATCATCATCATCATTACATTATGGAAGGAACATCTAGTGAATATAAAACTATGTCATATGATGTGATATAATTGTATGGCTCTGCTATGCACCTGTATGAGTGTATGATTCTGCTATGTACTCATCATGCTATAACAATCCAAATATAACAAAGAGCTTGTTTTTGTTGGGTGACTCAGAACACATTTATCTTTTGCAATTTGAAAGGAAAAATAATCTAAAAAGACTAAAGTATCCAGGTTAGTAAAATTTCATGAGTAAAAGTAATGTAATATAGCAGGGAAATTATGCAGCTACAGGGGAAAAGGAGATTAAAGAAGTAGCACATTAAATAGAAGCCACTCTTCCTTAGGAGTCTTCACTGCAGGAGATGAGAATGTAAATTGCAGGCAAAACAATTACATTTTCCACAGGTATGTGAACCATTGGTTACATTCATCAAAAATATCAACAATGTAACAGAATGTAATCTGGTGCAGCCTTTAAGAACAGTATGGAGGTTCCTTAAAAAAACTAAAGATAGAGTTACCATATGATCCATCAATCCCACTCCTGGGCATATATCTAGAAAAGATGAAAACTCTAATTCGAAAAGATACCTGCACACCAATGTACATAGCAGCACAATTTACAATAGCCAAGACATGGAAGTAATCTAAATGTCCATGGATAGAGGAATGGATAAAGAAGATGTGGTATATATAGACAATGGAATACTACTCAGCCATAAAAAAGAATGAAATAATTGCCATTTGCAGCAATATAGATTGACCTAGATTATCAGACTAAGTAAATCAGAGAAAGACAAATATCTTATATCACTTATATGTGAAATCTAAAAAAATGATACAAATGAACTTATTTTCAAAACAGAAATAGACTCACAGACATAAAAAACAAATTTATGATTACCAAAGGGGAAAGGGAGGGGAGTGATAAATTGGGAATTTGGGATTAACAGATACACACTACTATATATAAAACAGATAAACAACAAGGACCTACTGTATAGTACAGGGAACTATACTCAATATCTTGCAATAACCTATAATGGAAAAGAATCTGAAAAAATCTAAAATACATATATATATAAAACTGAATTGCTTTGCTGTACACCTGAAACATTGTAAGTCAACTATACGTCAATAAAAAAAAAATAAAATCAACAATGTAAGGGCAGCTAAGTACAATGCAAGCATTTAGTATATCAAGACGACTTAGAAAGAGAATTTCAGTGGGCTAAGGAAGAGTTCAAGGATATTCAGGATTCTAATTACTTTGAACAGAATTTGTACTTTAACAAACCAACTCGTAAATGCTAGATGACATATGCAAGCCCAATAATCCTGCAATTCAGTACCTTCTGTGATCAGTCAAGAAAATCAGTTCTAACATACTATACTATCATACTTTGTCATAGTCACCTCTTTCTTCTTTCAAAGGGAATCAACTCTCAAAAACAAAGTTTTATCTGTTTTCAGGTACATTTCAATGTAATGGAAATCTACAATTTAAAGGCAATGGCCATAAGATAAACTATATATATATATATATATATATATATATATATATATCTCTACTATGAAGACCAAATCTGAAAAATGTCCTAATAACTAAACAACCCGAAGCTACAACAGATCTCCCACTAAAAACTGTTTCCCAAAGGGTTAGAAAATAATTACCATGAACGAACAATATTATGTCGTTGCAACAACAGTAAAGTAATTAAGTAAATTAAATGTAGGAATGAAAAACTGGGTGCAGCTTTTAGGAACACTCTGGAGGATTTGATTTTTGATAAATGAGAGGTAGTAATTCTTACAATATTGTAAATTCAGAATACAAATGCAGTTGTTAGAGAATTATACAACCAACAGAAATCTTACTTTTTTTTTTTAATGTCAATTTTTGCCCTAATTGTACATAAGAAGCCTAGAGTCCAACAGAATTAAGGGAGGTTATTCCACAGGCAAGTATTTCATTAATGTGTTGCACTATTTTGAGCAGAGTTGAGTGTGTTCTAACTGAATGTATACAATACTCACGTTCAGTTAAAAGCCGAGCTATTAAAAATATTTGCCAACTACCCAGTTTAAAACGGCCTATCAAATGTTGAAAATATCAGTGTTGACAATAGTTTTCATTAATTTACTGTGGCTTAAATGTCAGCTCAGTCACATTATGTTTTTAGAAGAAACAGAAAAGAATTCAGCTAATAAATTAAAGCAAAAAGTAAAAATACAGTCCTTGAATAACAAATGACACTATATGTTGTCATGTAGGATATGATGAGGTTACTATGAAAAATCATAGTACTATTTTTAGTCACAGATCATCAAGATAAAACATTACTATTAGCAATTATCTATCTAAAACAAGCAAAAAACTCTAAGCTCTACTTCAACAAAATCTTAGCCACTCAGAAGTCACTTTACATGCTCCAGGTATCAAATGCCAACAAATTTGTACTGTGGCTTTCAGAAATCAAAGCATTTGCAAAGTGTAAACACTTTGTACCAAACTAAGCTTCCTAAAAGTAGAAGAAAAAAGAAAGAAAAGAAACAGACAACCTGATGGCACGTAGAAATCACAACCAGTTGCAGTCAGGTTGGGATTTGTACCTGGGCAATGAAGGGAGTTGGGTAATTTATATGTTCAAAATTCAAGATCCCAAGGGGGCAGGGGGGTTGAAGAAGAAAAGATACAGTTCAGTAAACAATGGATGATAACCAGGTTGGATGAGAGGCAATCTAAAATTTCTTATGGTCAAGAATCAACACACTGAAGCCCTGTCTCAAACATAAACCAAACAGCTTCTAAGAGTTTGAAGTAGCCAGGGAAGAAACATTCCTTCGCACCCACAAGAACCAATCCCGAAACCACTGGCATGCTATTACAAGATTTACGGGCATTTGGCTTGGAATGGTGGGCAAAAGAGAGGAAAGAAGGGTCTGTTAGGATTTCAGAGGCCTGGGGAGGCACAACCTAGGCTTTGGGAAGGAGAGGTGGACAGGGGCGAGCACTCCTCACCGTGATTATCTTTCTGCCCGATATTGTGCGTGCGGATGAGAGAGGACAGTCTCCTCACATCCCCCTTGAAGACGCACTCGTGCACCGGGTAGTGTGCGGGGCAACTGCCTCCACCTGCGACGACAGCAACGGGGTTGGTGCCCGCTAAAAGAGCCGGGGACTGGGAGGTGGTAGTCACGGAGGAATTGTGCAGCGGCAGGGCCGGGGCGCCGGGGGGATTGGAGGAGGCCGGAGCTGTCTTCAGTTGTAGCCGGTGGTGATGGTTACTGAAGATCTTATGACAGGCTCTACCGCCCTTGCTGCTGCTGCCTGTGCCAATCCTGCCTCCGGTAAAGGTGCCGCCGAGGGCAGCCGCCGCTTCCTCATCCCCGGGCTCCAGCAGGTCCCCCTCTTCTTTGCTGGGCTTGTGGTCCCTCCGCAATGAGCGGATCTTCTCCCCGGTCATCGCCGCCAGGGGCAGAGAGGGGATCCAGGAGGTTCACCCCTGGCGACGAAGCTTGCGCTGCGGCCGCACAAGGCGATTAGAGCGGTGGCCAGGATACTCCAGCGCAGCATGAACTCCCAGAGCGCCCCTGAGCCCGGGACAAACGCATCTCCCGGAGGAAGAAGAGCCGGCTCTCGCCTAGGCACGAAGGGACGCGCGCTCGCTGGGGGGAGCTAGAGTTCAGGTGCCCACGACACCAGAATCCCCGTCTCCACCGCCGCAGCCGCCGCCACTGCTTCACACCGAAAAACAGGGGACGGCCATCTTCCCCTGGCTTCTCTCGCGATAACTCCCCTGGGAGGGAGGAGGGAGGAAACACCGCGATAAGTGAGCTGCCTGCTCCCTCCCTCGCAGGTTCTGTTCCCAGGGTTGCAGAATGCCGGCGCTTCCCAGGCAGTGAGTTCCCGCCCCAAGCTGCAGTCTCTGAACTAAAAGACCGGGATCCAGCGTCCGGATGGCCGCGCTTCTTGTGGGCCGTCTGAAACCTTAGCCTGCGTTTGAGATATTCGATGCACGTTATAAACAATGACAAACCCTGCGACCTCTGGGCCTCCCTCAGGAGTGCTGACTGACGCCAAGGCACACAGGATATGATGTCACTGAAATGCACAGGACGCTCATTCAATAAACTTTCGCTAAGCATCTACTTCGTGCCGTACACTCTGCTAGTAGATTTATAAAACACCACTCCTGGCTCCAAGGTGCTCGTTAGAGGAGGAAAGATAGTCAAGCAATTGAGTACAAAATGTAACTGCGAATGAAGTGGATGTGGAGTGCTGGGTTGCACGAAAAAAAAAAGGGGGGGGAAGGCAAATTTTAGTGTTGGAGTGTCAGAAAAGCCACCACCGAAGTTTAGGGACTGATCCTGGATAACAGGCTATTCAGCAGACTGGGAGAGGGGAGGTCACTCAAATATTTGTCGGATGAATGAATTTCGGGCAGGCGTCAGAGTTAAAGCATGGGGAGTGGACCCTGAAGGATGGCAAACAATAATTGTGTAACCGGAATATCGCTGGACTAGTTCATGGCCAGCCTCGACCTAGCGTCAAATTCTGAAGAACATAAATCTGACCTTGACAAAATAACTAAAGCTGTTGGGAACTGGAGGGCAGAGGAGTTAGCAATGTCCGAAAGATACTAACTTGTTTATCTCTCCTAAATCCCATTTACTCTGACAGCTGCTTCTCTCAAAACTCTTCTTTCTTAAACCAACTTTATCCCTACCTCCATAACACCACCCCTCCAAATAAAAACTCCTGTGGGAACTGTCCTCTCTTCATCCTTCCCTGCTACTCAGGTTTCACCTTCCATCGTCTTTCAAATCTATTTAAATTAATGTCATTCTTCCCTTCTTCCTTTTCTTTCTTGTGTGTGTGTCTGGGAGGTGGGGGAGGCCGGGGGCTGGGGGTGGGGAGGTGTTCCAATTCTGTTCAAGCATTGCATGGGCAATCTGCACCTCAAAGGGTCCTCCTACTCAGAAAGCAAGAGGGACTGGACACCTATGTACAAAAACACTTTCTTCTTCCACAATAGCCTCTGAAACAGGTGGTAGGCTCAGCACTTTATATGCTATTTCCTTGTGATAAGTATTATTTTCAATCTTCATTTGACAGTTGGAAAAACTTCCCAATGCATCAAAGGTGGAATGTAGCACAGTCAAGTGTAACTCCAGGGCTAGAGAAATAGGAAGGGGCCAGATCGTGTAGGATTTTGTATGTTATCTCAAAAGTTTAGACATTATCCTACAAGAAATGGATAGCCTTTTAGGGATGTTAAACAGGAGAATAGTAAACACACACACACACACACACAAAGCAAAAAAGAACAAAATCAAAACAGGGGAATAGCATGATGCGATTTGCCTTTTAGAAAAGTCACCCATACCTTAGAAAAGTATGTATCCAGAATAGATTACAAGGGGGCTACTATAGAGACAAGGAAACGGAGAGACTCCTGCATAAATCAAATAAAAATGTGTGTAAAAATATGCACGTAAAAGTCTGGTAGAATATATGTCACACAGGGGGAACAGTAGTTCACTCTGGAAGATAAGATTGCTAAATCACATATTCCCTTCATTGCTTGAATTTCTTTTTACAAAGAGAAAGTATTCCTTTTTATTAATCAGAAAAAATAATAAATTAATTTTTAGAAGAAGTATGCAATTCAGGAGGTGAGAGATTATGAGAGTATAAACCAAGTTAGTAAGAGTTAGGCTGGAGACGGTTTAAGAGTTTAGAAAAAACTGAGTTCAGTTTTGGCATATTGAATTGAATGTTCGTGTTGCTCACCATAAGGAGTTAGATGGCAAATATTTTGGTATTTGGAAATGAACCTTAGGAAACAGAAATCTGGGTTAAGATTCAGAAGTTATCATTACACAGTAATTGATGCCACAGAAGTCATTGAGTTCCCCAAGGAAGATTGTGTAGAGTGAGAAATTAAGGTCCAGTCTAGAACAAAACCTTGAAAACACCAATATATAAGGGATGTGTACAGGAAGAGTGGCCAGAATCCTATTAATAAAAAAAAAATTTTTTTTTAAACTTATACCAAATTGTCTACCATTATATCTGTGTTACCACTGGATTTAGAATTTAAAAGTACCTTATTAGTGGCTGCCACCCATGGACAGATATGGAAACTCCTAAGCGTCCCCTCAGTAAAATCAAACACTACAAACATCAAAAATAATATTCAGCCCTTACTTTTAGGAGCTCCACAGTATAATAGGGAAAAATGATATAGAAATATAAGTTTATAGTACATTGTGGAAAATACAAGAATTGAAATTATATGAGATCCTGATATACTACAGAAGAGGAGGTTATTAATTCTATCTGGAGGAGATGAAAGTTGGGTGATCAGAAAATCTTTCTGGAGGAGGTAATGTCCAGACTGGGTTTTAAAGAATGTATAGGAGTTAGCCAATTGGGCAAGGGGAAAAAGATATTATAGGTAAGAATAAAAATTACAATAATGATAATAGCTATAATTTATTGAGAGCTTACCCATAATAGGCATTGTTCCAAGCAAGTTTCAATAACTATTTGGTTTAATCCCCACAACAATTCTATGAGGTACTTTCTGTCCCTATTTTACAGATGAGGCAACTGAGGCACAGGAAGTGATCATCCAAATGATGAATAGGGATAAGAAGAACAGTATGTATAAATATAGCATGATAGTTGAGAATTATCAGAGCATGGTATGTGGCAGGAAAAGTGGTGGTAAATGAGACTAGAAAGGAAAGCTGGGACTTGATTACAGGAGCAACTGTATGAAACTTGGGCTATATATGCTAGGCAGTAGAGAGTCTGCAAAGGATTCCAAACACATTAAAGACAGAATCACATTTAATACTATAATGTACAACCAACCAATACCCCAAGGATATGAGATTTTGCCAATCTTTCCAGCTTAACCTCCTCGCACAATGCCAGATTCATTCTTCACTCTAACCAAAGCAATCTGCTGACAGTCCCTTATCCACTCTCATGCCACCATGCCTTTGTACATGTGATTCCATACATCCTGAATTCATTTCTATTTCACTTACCTAGATACCTCATTCAATCTATCAAGAATTAGTTCAAATTTTATCTCTTCTTCACACAGGGTTTTTTTTTTTTTTAACTTGGCATACAATTCAGGGGTCCAGAAAATTACATTGAATGAAACCACTAAATAAAATTTAGCACATCCTTCTATTATGAATGTAGACCACAAACCACAATAATATTAGAGGTACCTGTGCCTCTGCAACCAAAAGAAACCACAGATATTTTCATATCACATTACAGTTGCTGCAGATAACTCAAAATATCATTTAAATTCATCACTACCTCAAAATTATGTTAATAATTATGCTCACTGATAAATCTTGTTCTTCTATGAGTTAATAAAGAAGCACATATACTGCTATATCACAAATTTGTTTTTTCAAGTATTTTGATAGCTCTTTCAATACTCTAAATTTCCTTCATAATCCAAAGTATTTTACACACTTAAAAACATTGTTCTGAAAATGGGTTCCTAGACTTCACCATACTGCCAAAGAGGTCCGTGGCACAAAAACAGAAGTTAGTAACCCCTTCTTAGGAGTCTCTAATGACACCTGCCCTTCCTCTCCTTGTCTCCTCTCCAACACCCCACCATTCTGAATATGCGTCCCTTCTTTGCCTTCTTCTGATTTCCCTTTCTTTCCCAAATCTTTCTGATTTGCCTTTTCTGATTTTAACTTTTGCGTGCCTCTTTGATATTCTTGTCCACCTCTTCAACTAGATCTTTGAGATTTCTCAGTACTGAACTATGTTTATCCCTGTTGTATGCACAGTGCCTTACAGAGTGAAATAGTGAATGCTTAATATTAATAATAAACAGTTGTTGAATCGATCACCTATAACATAAGACCCCAAAGTATCTAAAGTGTACCAAGAGAACTGTAAACTAAGTGATGAGATGTTAAGTAAACTTACTAAATAATCCCAATCTGACTATACTTTAGCTGACTACTAGTTTCTTGGATTCTTAAGTGAGGCCCAAGAGTAAATATATATCACTTTGGATTTTTTTTTTTAACAAATAACAGTAAATTCAACTGAAACGGTCTTATATTAAAGGGATTTATTGACTTACATACAGAACAGTACAGAGATACGTCTTCAAGAGGGGCCCCTCCAAACCACATATCAGGTTCTCTGTGACTCAGAGCACCTTCTCCCTGTTCAGAACGTTCTCCGAAGGCCAACTTCTCTCAAGGATACAAGATGGCTGCCAGCAGTAACAGGGGCCTGGAGCTTCCTCCTTCAGGTCCAGAAGGAGGGCCCAAGACCCCACAAGTCTGCTGCTCGACATTCATAAGATGATCCTGTCCAATATCTGCGTCTGGGAGAGTGTTGATTGGCTCAGGCCTCGGCTACCTGAACAAATCCCTGTGGCAGAAGAGATTACCCTTATCAGGTTTGCCCAATCACAACTCATCTCTGAGCAGGGTGGGGTGGGGCCAAGCACTCCAAAACTGCAAAACTATTTCATAATGAGAATGAGGTGGAAAAGACGACAGGGAGACAAACGCAAGAGCAGCCATGAAAAGAACTACATCCAATGACTTAAAGTAGGATTTTCCTTGTGGGGGGTGGTGCGGGAAGAACTGGCCTGTTATCACAGTGTCAAGACTAAATATGATGAAATATGTTGGTTATCAATTATATCAATAAGTAATGAGTGAATAACTTCACCATCAAACAACATATTTACATTTTATTCAAACGTTACAGAGATAGAATTCAATCCA